TGGATTTATTGATCTATGGATTTATTGATTTATGGATCTATTGATTTATTGATTTATGGATTTATTTATTCATCCATTCATTGACTTACGGATTTATCGATTCATCGATTTATTGATTTATGGATATATTGATTTATTAATTTATGGATCTATCGATTAATCGATTTATTGATTTATGGATTATCGATTTATGGATCTATTGATTTATGGATTTATTCATTCATCGATTCATTGACTTACGGACTTATCGATTCATCAATTTATTGATTTATCGATTCATCGATTTATGGATTTATTGATTTATGGATCTATTGATTTATGGTTTTATCAATTAATCGATTTATTGATTTATGGATTTATCGATTCATCGATTCATTGATTTATTGATTCATCGATTTATTGTTTTATGGATCTATTGATTTACGGATTTATTGATTTATCGATTCATCGATTTATTGATCTATGGATTTATTGACTTATGGATTTATGGATTTATCGATTTATGGATCTATTGATTTATTGATTTACGGATTTATTGATTTATCTATTCATCGATTTATGGATTTATTGATTTATGGATATATTGATTTATTGATTTATGGATTTATCGATTAATCGATTTATTGATTTATCGATTTATGGATCTATTGATTTATTGATTTACGGATTTATTGATTTATCTATTCATCGATTTATCGATTTATTGATTTATTGATTTATGGATTTATTTATTCATCGATTCATTGTATATGGATTAATTGATTTATCGATTTATGGATTTATTGATTTATGGATCTATTGATTTATGGATTAGTTCATTCATCGATTCATTGACTTACGGACTTATCGATTCATCGATTTATTGATTTATCGATTCATCGATTTATGGATTTATTGATTTATGGATCTATTGATTTATGGATTTATTCATTCATCGATTCATTGACTTACGGACTTATCGATTCATCAATTTATTGATTTATAGATTCATCGATTTATGGATTTATTGATTTATGGATCTATTGATTTATGGTTTTATCAATTAATCGATTTATTGATTTATGGATTTATCGATTCATTGATTTATTGATTCATCGATTTATTGTTTTATGGATCTATTGATTTACGGATTTATTGATTTATCGATTCATCGATTTATTGATCTATGGATTTATTGACTTATGGATTTATGGATTTATCGATTTATGGATCTATTGATTTATTGATTTACGGATTTATTGATTTATCTATTCATCGATTTATGGATTTATTGATTTATGGATATATTGATTTATTGATTTATGGATTTATCGATTAATCGATTTATTGATTTATCGATTTATGGATCTATTGATTTATTGATTTACGGATTTATTGATTTATCTATTCATCGATTTATCGATTTATTGATTTATTGATTTATGGATTTATTTATTCATCGATTCATTGTATATGGATTAATTGATTTATCGATTTATGGATTTATTGATTTATGGATCTATTGATTTATGGATTTATTTATTCATCGATTCATTGACTTACGGATTTATCGATTCATCGATTTATCGATTTATGGATATATTGATTTATTGATTTATGGATTAATCGATTTATCGATTTATGGATTTATCTTGTCATCGATTTATCGATTTATTGATTTATTTATTTATTGATTCATCGATTTATTGATTTATGGATCTATTGATTTACGGATTTATTGATTTATCGATTCATCGATTTATGGATTTATTGATCTACGGATTTATTGATTTATGGATCTATTGATTTATCGATTAATCGATTTATTGATTTATGGATTTATCTTTTCATCGATTTATTGATTTATGGATCTATTGACTTATGGATTTATTAATTCATTGATTTATGGATTTATTGATTTATGGATCTATTGATTTATTGATTTATGGATTTATCGATACATCGATTCATTGATTTATTGATTCATCGATTTATTGATTTATGGATCTATTGATTTACGGATTTATTGATTTATCCATTCATCGATTTATGGATTTATTGATCTATGGATTTATTGATTTATGGATCTATTGATTTATGGATTTATGGATTTATTGATTTATGGATCTATTGATTTATTGATTTATGGATTTATTGATTTATGGATTTATCGATACATCGATTCATTGATTTATTGATTCATCGATTTATAGATTTATGGATCTATTGATTTACGGATTTATTGATTTATCCATTCATCGATTTATGGATTTATTGATTTATGGATCTATTGATTTATGGATTTATCGATTTATTGATTTATCGATTAAACGATTTATTGATTTATGGATTTATCTTTTCATCGATTTATCTATTTATTGATTTATCGAATTACTGATTTATTGATTTACTGATTTATCGATTTATTGATTTACTGATTTATCGATTTATTGATTTATGGATTTATCGATTCATCGATTTATTGATTCATCGATTTATTCATTTATAGATCTATTGATTTACGGATTTATTGATTTATCGATTCATCGATTTATGGATTTATTGATCTATTGATTTATTGATTTATGAATTTATCTTTTCATCGATTTATGGATTTATTGATTTATGGATCTATTGACTTATGGATTTATTAATTCATTGATTTATGGATTTATTGATTTATGGATCTATTGATTTATTGATTTATGGATTTATGGATTTATCGATACATCGATTCATTGATTTATTGATTTATGGATCTATTGATTTACGGATTTATTGATTTATCGATTCATCGATTTATGGATTTATTGATCTATGGATTTATTGATTTATGGATCTATTGATTTATTGACTTATGGATTTATTTATTCATCGATTCATTGACTTACGGATTTATCGATTCATCGATTTATTGATTTATGGATATATTGATTTATGGATATATTGATTTATTAATTTATGGATTTATCGATTAATCGATTTATTGATTTATCGATTTATTGATTTATGGATTATCGATTTATGGATCTATTGATTTATGGATTTATTCATTCATCGATTCATTGACTTACGGACTTATCGATTCATCGATTTATTGATTTATCGATTCATCGATTTATGGATTTATTGATTTATGGATCTATTGATTTATGGATTTATCAATTAATCGATTTATGGATTTATCGATTCATCGATTCATTGATTTATTGATTCATCGATTTATTGTTTGATGGATCTATTGATTTACGGATTTATTGATTTATCGATTCATCGATTTATTGATCTATGGATTTATTGACTTATGGATTTATGGCTTTATCGATTTATGGATCTATTGATTTATTGATTTACGGATTTATTGATTTATCTATTCATCGATTATGGATTTATTGATTTATGGATATATTGATTTATTGATTTATGGATTTATGGATTTATCGATTAATCGATTTATTGATTTATTGATTTATCGATTTATGGATCTATTGATTTATTGATTTACGGATTTATTGTTTATCTATTCATCGATTTATGGATTTATTGATTTATGGATCTTTTGATTTATTGATTTATGGATTTATTTATTCATCGATTCATTGATATATGGATTAATTGATTTATCGATTTATGGATCTATTGATTTATGGATTAGTTCATTCATCGATTCATTGACTTACGGACTTATCGATTCATCGATTTATTGATTTATCGATTCATCGATTTATGGATTTATTGATTTATGGATCTATTGATTTATGGATTTATCGATTAAACGATTTATTGATTTATGGATTTATCGATTCATCGATATATGGATTTATGGATTTATCGATTCATCGATATATGGATTTATGGATTTATCGATTTATGGATTTATTGATTTATGGATCTATTGATTTATGGATTTATCGATTCATTGATTTATGGATTTATTGAATTATGGATTTATGGATCTATTGATTTATGGATTTATCGATTCATCGATTTATTGATTTATCGATTCATTGATTTATTGATTCATCGATTTATTGATTTATCGATTTATAGATTTACCGAGTCATCGATTTATTGATTTATGGTTTTATTGATTATGGATTTATGAATTTATTGATTTATCGATTTATGGATTTATTGATTTATCGATTTATGGTTTTATTGATTTATGGATTTATGATTTTATTGATTTATGGTTTTATTGATTTATGGATTTATTGATTTATCGATTTATTAATTTATCGATTTATTGATTTATCGATTTATGGATTTACCGATTCATCGATTTATTGATTTATTATCGATTTATGGATTTATAAATTTATTGATTTATGGACTTATTGATTTATCGATTTATTGATTTATCGATTCATCGATTTATGGATTTATCGATTTATGGTTTTATTGATTTATCGATTTATGGTTCTATTGATTTATGGATTTATGGATTCATCGACATATTGATTTATCCATTTATGATTTTTTTGATTTATCGATTTATGGTTTTAATGATTTATTGATTTATCTATTTATTGATATATGGATTTATCGATTTATTAATTTTTCGATTTATTGATTTATCGATTTATGGATTTACCGATTCATCGATTTATTGATTATGGATTTATAAATTTATTGATATATTGATTTATCGATTCATCGATTTATGGATTTATTGATTTATGGATATATCGATTTATTGATTTTTGGATATATCGATTTATTGATTTATGGTTTTACCGATTCATCGATTTATTGATTTATGGATTTATTAATTATGGATTTATGAATTTATTGATTTATGGATTTATTGATTTATCGATTCATCAATTCATCGATTTATGAATTTAACGATTTATTGATTTATTGATTTATGGATTTATCGATTAATTGATTTATTGATTTTTTCTATTTATTTTAATACAGTTCGGACCACCCTGTATACAGACTTGTTATACACTTTTTTGATAAAGTTTTAAAATCGCATTTATTTATATGTATAGAAATAGAAATAAAACTACTCATTTAGATGTAATTTACTTAATAAGCTTTATTAAAACAGGTAGAAGTTCAATTTCATTAAATATTTTTATTCTATTTTCTTACATTCCAGCGTAAAATATAGATTGTCGTCACGAAGTAGACTACCGTAAGATCTACCGTTGAAATAAACATCTTTAAAATATATTTTTTTGATCAAATCAAAGCCTAAACGTTTAGTAATTTGTTGAGTTTTAAAGGTAGTGAGAATTGAAGTTACAATTTGAGGAATTGGTTCAAGTGGCAAAGAGGATTCCTCCAAAGATATCTTCACATTTTGTCCCTGAAAAGTATTAAAAAAAGTTTAAAAAACTATTCATATTATAGCAACATTAGATTTAATTAGATTTAGGAGTATTTTAATACTGATAATGACTAACACAATCTGAAAAATATGCGAAAGAATTATTTCGATGTGTATAAAATCTTCTACTAAGGGCACGGCATTATACAATAATCATTGGCGTAACTACAGGGGAGCACGGGGGGCCTAGTCGGCCCCCCCCCATCAGGTACTGCTGGGCACCCCCCAGAGAAATACTGAATCATGACTCTTGACTACGTATTAATTTTTATTTGCTTGTGATGCAGTAAAAATGACGTTTTCTAGTTTTGTTTAGTTAATATTATTTTGTTGTGTTCAAAAAATGTGTTAAATTTTATTTTTTTTAGAAAATTTGTAGGTATTTAAGTAATCTACGGGAACACTATTTGATAACCAAGTCTATGAAATTTATGATGAGAAATTCATATAAACGTTTTATTTAAAAAATGTGTTTTTTAAAATTATTTTTCATTTTTAAAAAAACAAAAGCCCTAGGCCCCCCCTGGGCTAAACCCCAGGATAAATTGCTAGTTACGCTAATGACAATAATTGTTTTATATGCCGCGCTAACGGCTAGATATAAATACTAGTATATCACCTTGTAGTATACCTACTAAAGCTCCGTTCTCAGAACTGCGACTGTCGCCAGCGACACGACAAAAGAACCAATCAGATTTGTACAAAATTCAAACAGCTGTCAATTTTAAATTTAGTACAGCTCCCATTGGTTGTTTGAAATGTCAAACGTAGTCAAACTGTGTCGCCCGCGACACGACGTCGTTCTGAGGAAGGGGCTTTAAAGCCGGGCTCAAACGACTCGTGTACTCGGCAAGTACGCCAGTATTTGCGTACTTGGCAAGTATACCATCATTGTAAACTACTTTGGCAAGCTTGGCGCTCAAGGCGGACTGTGACGATTCGTGTACTTTTACAAACATTTGTTATTGGGATATACTTGCCATGTTGGGCGAGTGGTTTCCTTGTGCAATTATACGTCACTCGTCGCGCCACGTGAGCGCCGAGCCTGTTGCAAAAAATGTTGTTTACAAAGATTGTATACTTGCTATACCGATAAGTACGCAAATATTGGTGTACTTGCCAAGTACACGAGTCGCCAGTTGACGCATTAAGGTTAATTCTCACTATACCTTCCGTTTCCATTCCATATATCCATATCCGTTCCGTATTTTTTATTGTATTGACGCTATACTTTAACTTCCGTTGCGTATCAGTTCCATACTTTTTATTGTACAATTTATATAATTACAAAAGTTTTGTTATAAAAAGTTGTATCTTTTGAAAAAGGTAATAGATTTAATTAAGAGGTGAAAGAATAAATAAATATCAGCAAAATGTTAGCAGAGCTAGTTCAAATGTAAGAACTTGACAACGCTGTTTCCGATACGCTTCACTCCTCCTAATCCAAAAAAATGTATGAAATGCTAGGATATGAAACGGAAGGGAAACGGAACGGATAGTGTGCATTGTCCTATTCATTTACATAATATAATATTTATTGTAAATGGAAGGTAGCTGATATGGATGGTATAGTGAGAATCAACTGTTAGCATGAGTATGGGGCTTTACGTAAACTTACTTTATAAAGCAGACTGGCCAAATCTAATGTAATTTTGAACAGCGTTGTGCCGATACCTCTTCCTCCGTATTCGGGTTGGACCCCCAAAAACACCGACTCTAGTAAGCAGTCTGCGTTGTAGGGAGTGAAAGGGTCCAGAAGTCCTTCCATTTCAGTTAGAAAATCGAGAATTGCTATTGTTTCAGCGTGTTGTGCACGTTTCGCATAATCAGCGTAGAATTCAGTACACGAAGTATCTTTATGCTAAAATTAAAAAAAAAAATGTTAAAAATCTTAAGCTTCGTACAGACCTTAATGTTGCACCGAACAAAACAAACGGAATGGCAAATGAAGACGAAAAATTTACGAACCATATGTTTGCATTCCCAGTAATGTTTCAAATATGGATGATGCAGAAGCACATATATGTTATGTACATTATATATACATTATGCTTTAACTTCCAAAAAAAGGCGAGAAAATCAAGAGGATGGGAAAAAACACATTTATACACTATACACCCAATGAAATGCGGAACATTTTAGCAATTTTAGCTAGCCACAGTAATGGGTGTTTTTGGTACAATCTAATTAAATCAAAATATTTTGATTTCCCTCAGTCTATTTTTACACACAAAAACGGTCAGCTGCTGTGTTCCCTGAAAGCGCACATTCTATGAAATCTTCGTAAATCTGCAGATAAAACGGCGTTTCAGTGACAATTAAATTGCGAAAGCTTCCCTTAAATTGAGCTTCTTCATATCTCTTAAGGCGGCGAATGACTTGATCCGAGCGTTGTAATGTAACGCTTTGTAACACGAGCGTTCGCTAGTTAAGAAATAGTCGCCGAACCAAGCGACAAGACTGTTGATTTTTTAGCGAATCAATATTGCCCATTAATATTGTCATATTTGAATCTAAAAAGTAACATTATTGTTTTTTTCACGCTTCTTATAGCTATTACTTAATAAAAAGTTTAAAATACTGTTTCAAGTATTTTGAAATCAATAATTGTGCAATTAAGTTCCATGAACGTTACATTTTTTAATACTTTTTTTACTTCTTATTTACATTTTATAGCAAAAAAACATTCATGGCCCTCCTAAAAATGTTATAGGAAATTAAAAAACATTAAATCATTGTTTAAATAAAAGTATTATCGTGCTAGACGGTCGATTTACCTAGGCGCCTCGCTGCCGCCGCCGCCGCCCTTTGTTTTCGATCATACCAAGATCATACCCTGTGATCATACCTACTACTTGATAGGGATGGCAAAAAGACTAAATATATCGATATATTGTATCACAAGATATATCGAAAGGAAAATATCGATATATTTTGTATATCGATATAAATTACACAATTCTTTTATTTCAACTGTAAGCATGAAATACCGTATGATCTAAAGAAAACTGTCCAGTTGGCTTGAAAATGGATATCGATGACATTCCCCATATAATTTTTCGAACAAAATGACAGCGATCTCTATTTCATACCCATCGCTGATACCGTTTTTTTTTTCGATCATATTGTATTTTTGTTTACAGTGGGAAAAATAAAAAATGGTAGCACTAGGTAGCTAGTACTCAATCAATCAATCAATCAAAGTAAATTAGTGTTATTATAATATTCATTTAGAGTTTTAGCCAATGCATCCCTAAAGCAAAGTTTACCCTAAAGTGACTCCTGCGGTGGGATTCTGTAACTGTCTAAGAAAATATCTTGCTAGTGACTCACACATACTCAATTTTCTTATCGAAAATTTAGTAAAATGTAGCCAAAATGGCGCTCTTTAGAAGCGCCATTTTTTTAATTGTAGCAGATTATAAAGCAACTGTTTACTGGAACCTGACTGGAATGAATAGTATTTATATTAAACGTTTGTCAATAAAATCAAAAAATGAAATTTATATACAGATTGTTAACTGGACGGTTACTTATTGGGGAATAGAATGGCAAGATTGCCTACATTCCAAATGAGTACTAATGTGGTACTAAACTAAGCTGCCGACTCGTCCCGTCCCGTCGTCTCTCGACGAGCGGGTCGAGGTTGCCATATTTCAACCATAAAGCTCTTGCCGCGAGTAATAAACAAATTAACAACCTGTATACATAAACAATCCCAAGAAAAACCCTATAACTTATAGCCTTTCACCACTTATTTACGTGTGTTCTTCACTTCATTTATTTCCTTCTATTCAGTAGAAATCAAATAATGATCACAACCACACCAATAGATAACAAATATACCGCAGATGATATAATTTTTTTAGAGTATTAAAAATAATGCTGTTCCGATATATCGCAAAGAATATATCGATATATCGGAAGTAAAACATCGATGCAGATATATCGATATATTTCCATTAATATATCGATATGTCATTGCCATCCCTACTACTGGATCACTTTTATATTGGCTGTCGGCTGTCGCACTGTCGCCCTGTCGCGATCTCGACACCGTACGTCTGTACTCGACACCCGACACCGCAATCCGATATATCGCAAAAAATTATATCGATATATCGGAAGTAAAACATCGATGCAGTTATATCGATATACTTCCATTAATATATCGATATATCGTTGCCATCGCTACTACTGGGTCACTTTTATATTGACTGTCGCGCTGTCGCCCGTCGCCCTGTCGCGATCTCGACACCGTGTCGACACCATACATACGTCTGTGCGCGACACTCGACACCGCAAAATCGTGACACCGAAACAGCGATATCGCTTGAAGTAACGTAAATACCTTATGATAAGACGTATCTTAGTAGAAGTAAGTAGTTCGCATAATAAACAAGATTAATTTGTGTGTACCCTTAATGTTTAGCAAATGAATAATTTTGTTGGAATTTTAATTTAAAATATACACATTTTTTTAAAAAAGTTAGTGTTATTATAGTATCAGAGTTTTAACCAATGTTTCTTCAAAGTGTCTCCTATTAATTTCAAACATATCTAGTATAACCGAGATGCTTGGTTATCATTAAGAAATGTGTAATTTAACAACATGGGGGAGAGAAAGATGGCATTATTAAGTAGTTCGCATAATAGGATAAAGAAAGACATTTTTGCCAATTAAATAAGTTTGTTGGATAAAGTAAGTTAGTGTTATTATAATATTCATTTAGAGTTTTAGCCAATGCATCCCTAAAGCAAAGTTTACCCTAAAGTGACTCCTGCAGTGGGATTCTGTAACTGTCTAAGGAAATATCTTGCTAGTGACTCACACATACTCAATTTTCTTATCGAAAATATTTAGTCCATCAAATGACAACCTATAGGTATATCATATATAGTCATAGGAGTCATAGTCATAGCATATAGTTTATTTGTTTTGATATTGAAATTCTTGGTTATGGTCAGAATCTTAGACAACGTCAGAATCATTTTGTAAATGAAATTTACAATTTAAGGCGCGTGGTCATCGTGAAACAAGAAAAAGAAGAAATTTAAAATGTAGGACGGTGACAAAATATCGATATATTTTATAAAATTCATCGATATACTCATAAAATGTTGATACAAACCAAACCAAACCAAACCAAACCGAAAAAAAAAACGTCGTCCAGTTAGCTTGGAAATGACGATCGATGACATTCCTTATATAATCTTACATATAAATGACAGCAATCTTCATTTCAAAGTTACCGCTGCCGCCGTTTTTTTGTCAGTCATATTGTATATTGTTGTCGTCAGTCATATTGTTTATTGTCGATATTGTTTATTGTTGATAAATAAATACCGGAAAAAGAGAATGCCAAGTTAATTTAAAATTAATGATAAATGATATTTTATACGTAAAATTATATTGTGAATGTTATCGACCATTCTCAAGGTAATTTGCGCTCTTTTTATTTCGATTGCACATGTTCAAGAAATATCAATAAATCTATGAAAAAAATTGACGATATATGTACGTCCTAAAAATATCATAAATAAAATATCATAAATATACATCCTACAAAATATCATAAGAATAATGAGTCACTAGCAAGAAATTTCATATTACGAGCTTACAGAATCCCACCTCTGGTGTTTGGGCATGACAGATATCCTAATTAATTTCAGGTACTTACTAACAACATATTATCTAATGTAAGTGAGATGGGTGAACGTGGTTACCACTGAGAAATTTGTACCTAGTGTAACATAAACAATATGGAGGACAAACAGATGTCATTATTAAGTGGTTCAGATAATAACCAGGATAAAGAAAGAAATTTAAATATTTCAGAACTACAAAATGAAGAAAATCTCATTAAACAAATAAAATCGGACGATGTCAGTCAAAGCGTATCAGAAGAAAAAATCACAAAATCTAATGATATGAATCAAAAGGAGGAAGAGATTTCGCTGATAAATAATAACGATTTAACACAAAAGGGAAATGGAAAGTTAAAGAATTCTTCTATAACAAACGCAGAAAGATGTCGTAATTATAGGCAACGTATAAAAGCGTTAAAAAAGAAATCAGAAAATGAACAAAGTAAAATCTGTGTATCGAACGCAGAAAAATGTCGCACGTACAGACAACGCAAAAAAAATAATCAAATTAAATTATTAACTACTATTAGTAATAATACTACTAATAATGATGTATTTGAAGAATCCTCCATCCATACATTGTCGACGATATCGAGAAAAGAAAGCTCGACTACGGGCCATAGCATTACTCACAACTGAATCTTCGTTAGTAAAGGGTGATGGTAATAATTTTTTTGTTGAGGATGAGTGTTCCCCCAAAGCAGGATCTAGTTCTACTACTTCAAGCAATGGCGCTGCTCTTCTGGAAAGAGGATTATCGAATAGAGTAAGTTTAGTTACGTTAACAGCAACTAGGGTAAGCCCGTGTTTGAAAAAAAAATTGGTCAAATGCGAGTCGGACACTCGCGCACGAAGGGTTCATACCATTCATTATCTATACGACATTAGACTATATTATTATAATTTTCTTTTCCGTTTAGCTGAAATTTTGAATGCGCGTATCAGTAATTTAAAAAATGAAAAACCATTTACCAAAAATTGTATTAATCAATGACAATATGTAAAAATTAAAAAAATGATTAAAAAAGTCGCCTTGACTAGGATTCGAACCTGCCTTGCAACGGCTCCAACGTCATAGCGGCGTAAAGTCCAAACGCTTTAACCTCGCGGCCACCGAGGACTTGAAAAGATTCTATCGCCAAAATTACTTCTTAAAAGATAATGTTTAGTGAAAGTACTTTTTATTTATAAACATTTATTTAATTCTGTTTTAGTATTTTGTTCTTATAGCGGCAACATAGATGCATTATCTGTAAAAATTTCAACTGTCTAGCTATAACGGTTCATAAGATTGACCTTTGTGACAGACGGACGGACGGACGGACGGGCAGCGAAGTCTTAGCAATAGGTAATAAATAATTTTACCATTTGGGTACGGAACCCTGAAAAGAACTAGTCCAGTAAATAAAGACACGAAAAGACCCAAGTGTCGGCGTAATTCATCGACCTTGGCCTTTTAGGCGGATTGTGTACCTTTTGAGTAGTTTTTAGGGAAAAAATTGCAACACCGTGCTCATCACCGTGAAAAAATAGTTTTTTTCTTTAATATCTACAGAAAAATGGGGTGTGCAATTTAAAAAATCTTAGATTAAAGAAATAAAGCTTAGGTAATTTATCTATAAAAAATGATCGTACTTCTCTAATTTTCCGTAGAATTAGTAGCTTTCGAGATATTCTTCGAAGATTCCTGAATTTTCTCTCCAAATCTTTACGCTCCAGAACCGTTCTAAAACTTGGGGTTGGAACAAACCTAATTTCGCCGAAAGGTATTGTGGATAGGGTTTCCGAAACCTGAGCTGTTTTTCGGAACCAGAAATTTCAGTACCGCGCCTCTTAGGAACCGGATTTTTTTCGGTACTATTTCTTGTTCAATATGATGGTGTAAAAAATGTATATACTATGTGGCGGATTAATCTCTCCAAAAATATTTTATGGGTATTTCGCCACTGCACTCCAAGAAAATCAAAAAAATAAAATATTTTTTGTAAACACTTCTGCATTAAACCTAAACGGACGCTGCTTGTCGGAAGTTATGTTTACAGTAATACAAATTTGCTGAAAGTTTATTGCTTTCCGTCGTCGGAAGCAAAAAAATACAAAGAATAAAGAAAAAAAACTATTTTAAAATATTTAAATTCAACTATTCCAGAACACTTTACATTTTGAACGCAGATACGTCTACAACTATGGTCTACAACAAAGGTCTACAAAAAGAAACCGTGACGTTCTGTTAAAATGACATATCAAGTTAAACTTCAAAATTAGCAATTACTATCTAATAACAATTGCCAATAAGAGTAAAACCAAAAAGCCCCAAACTTTCCTGTATGATTATTTTTAATTTTTATGTATGTTTATAATTTATTATGTTCTTTAAAATCAAAAGAGCGATTGGCATACATTACTAACATCTACAGATGCCAGACATTTATTTTCCATTGCGTTGAATTAAAAAGCCTCTTTTATTTTTCTTTTTAGAGGCTATCCTTCTCTCTCTCAAGTATAAGTTTTTTTTCTTGCAGTGCAGTGGCAAAATACCCATAAAAGATTTTTTGGAGAGATGATGGTGTAGTTCGTCAATCAGAAAGCAAGGGATGATTCGAGGTAAACGATTCGAAATTCGAAGGTAACGATTCCAATGTAAAATGTATCTAATACATTGAACATTGAACAACGATATACTAAATAATAAAATACCATATTTATAAGCTTTAATAATTGCTAATAACATTAAAGGAACTTCAAAGGAAAAACAGCAAGAACAAAAAGAAATAGCATCACTAGGTAACTTCATTTCCGATGCCAATCTACCTGAACATAAATAAAGTGAATTAAAAGTAACAGAATTTGCAGTGTTTAATTTGATGAGAGCGGACAACGAACCAGCCGTAGATAAAGGAATAAAAAAGAACCAGCGCACAACCCTCGCCCAGCACTGTTGCCAACTCTCGGAGATGAATATCCGCTAGTTCGTATATTAAAAACCGCTAAAATCCGCTAGGAGCGATATCGAAACAAATTTTGCCGTGTCGCCATGGTATCGCTTAGTTTTTACCCTTATTTTACTTAGTTTTGTATATTTCTGGTTTTGAACCTTTTGGTAAGGTTTTTATTATGTATTGAGACAGATCTAACGTCATTTAGAAGATTCTAAGCAACTCTAGGCCTAGGTACTTTAAGTATATGTAATTGATAATTACGCGAATATTGGTGCAAATTTTGAAAAAAAATATTGTTTAGAATTTAAATAAAAATTTTTCAGTCAGTTTAGGGTTTTACTTATTTATTATACGGAATTTTAAACCGCTAAAAAAACGCTAGCGGTTAAATTATTTTTCTCCGCTAAACCGAAAAAAAAACGCCAGATCTTGCGAGAAAACCGCTAAATTGGCAACAGTGTCGGCCAGGTTCTCGGCCACAACCTGTGCCTAGGGATGGCAACGATATGTATATTTTCAAAATGTATCGATATATCGGAATAAAAATATCGATATATTGCTATCATTATCCAAGTCTCCGATATATCGATATCGAATTTTATCTATATTTGTGCTATATCTAAAACCGTTTAAATCAGGGATTACGTACTATGGTAACGTAGTATATATTCTTTGGTATGACGCAAAGACTAAAAACAATATTCAGGTACTAATAGCAACAAACAGTGCCGTGGCACATATTTTCTTAACATAGCCGCTTTAAGAGATATTTATAATTGATAAATGTTTTGACTACGCCTATGGTGTATGCGGTGGTATCATACGAATTAATTACGAAAAACATGCTAAAGAAATTTTAACAGAAGGTACAAAACTAGTATCGACGTGTAGCACATATCAAGTATAGGGTGGGCCAAATTGGACGCTTTTTAAATGGAAACATCCTTTTTTATAGAATGGGCAGAAAACTAATGTATCTGGAACTCAATCAAAAATAAAAATAAAAAAAAAAAAAAATAGAAAAAATATAACTTTGGTATGGATCTTAGTTCTGAAATACCTGTATAATTCAAAAATAATTTTAATTTTTGTTTCTACATCTTTCCGTTTTCATTATAATCAACCGAGGCGAATGAGCTGCACCACCCTGTATATGTGAATAGCTAACTTCAATCAATTTAACCTTCAATAATTGCTCCTATATTCAATCAGTTACAGTTTTCCAATACATTTAAAACTAACTTGAGAAAAAAAGTAAAAAGAAATGTTTAATCTTTCTACCTGTCGAAGTATCGACATCATCCTTACTGATAGCGATATTGATGAAAACAGCCATCCCTATTTGTGCCTCGGGGTCTTAGACAAAGAAAGAGACCCTCTATCTTTGTCAGCTCGGCGTCGTTCCCCACTGTTTCCAAAGCTGTAAGGTTGAAAATCGCAAATCATACGTTTTCGTGTCGTCTGCACATATTCGTCATCATATTGTTACTAGAACCATTGCCTGTGCCGTTGAAAGGCACTTAATTCTCGTTTGATATTTCTATCAGTTAATTTTTCACGGTTAAGGATTGACTATACGTTATTCTACTTATACAAAACAAATACACATTAGATATTAAGTAGAAAAATATATTTTAATATATTACAATTATTAAAAAACGAGCAAAATAAGTCTTTTTTATGGAATTTTTTTTTTTTTGATTTATTAAAAAATTACGCAAAATCAAATGTAATTTATGTCGAGCTAAGTTGTCGTACAAGTCAACCACGACAAATTTAAAAAAACATATATTGTTTAAACATCCTACAGTTAAATTACCTATCTTAACAGGATTTTCAAAAAATCCTTCTCCGGTAGTGCCTGAGTCCTTTTGTAGGTAGGCAGGTATGCTTGGTTTTTATTTTACTACCAGTTTATCGTGATCTGTTTGTTTTCATTTAATTTTGTTACTGATAACAGTTCTAAAAAATCATTTCTTTTTCAATATTTTGGCACAAAGAGTTATTAAACAGTTTTATTTAGCTCGACCCATTGGTATTTATTTATTTGGGTCAAAATTAGAAGTGAAATTTAAGTAGGTACCTTCCTGTTGTCAGATTGATCTGAAATTTGGTACACACCTTTAGTTTCGATGACAATACAATATATAGTAATATCAATAACGTTGTAAATCTAAGATGGCCGCCGGTACAAAATGGCGGATTTCATATTTTTCTACGACCCCCTCAATATGGGTATCAAATGAAAGGGCTACGCTAGTAGAATACTGTGATCATGACAAAATTTAAAATCCAAGATGGACGTCGTTACAAAATGGCATATTAGGTGAGGGCATGAGTAATCGTGTCCAGAACAGTTGTATAAGAGTAACGTTAAATTGCGTTTTTTTATTCTCTATAATAATATCAATGTTAAAATAAATATAAATAATAAAATATTAACAAATAGGTATTTTAAATATAATTAATTGTATAATTTATATTTTATTGTTATAATTGAGTTGTTATATATATTAATTTATATAATAATGAATTAAATGAGAATGGGGAATATTCGGTAAGCATTTCCGTTAAATACTAAAAACGAAATAAAAATCGGTAAAAAAAAACTTTTTAAGTTAAACGGTTTTATCTTATGTGCACTGAAAACTAGAAAATAATAATAACAATTAGTTATTTTGAACTTCTAGTTCAGAAATATTTTAATACTAGGCAGAATAGCTTTTAAGCATATTAGACTAAAATAAAACATTAGGGCCATTAACTATTGCTGTAATACTTTCTTCTATACGAAGTGTGGATTGCATCGACTTACTATAAT